GTACTATCGACAAATTAAACTTGCTATCCTTGATCCTTGTAGTTCTATTGTTGCGGGTAGACCCCGTTGAAAGAGCTCTATTGTTGCAGATAGGCCCCCTGAGTGAAAATCTATTGTTGCAGATAGAACCACAAGGGTAGTAACTAGTAAGTTCAAATTGGCTATACTACAAGGGGTACATCTGCAGTTAACCCTTTAATCAAGAATTCTGCACTTACCTACAACAGATGTTGTTTATGTATGCTTGTCTTTTGTGCTTCATGACTATGCTACTTTGCTATTCATATTTCTTTTTGCTTGGTCTAAATTTAGTATCTTTGGACTATAGATTCATACCCTTCAGTGGAGGACCACGAAAGTGTGTAGGTGATCAGTTTGCTTTGCTGGAAGCTATTGTTGCTCTTGCAATTTTTCTGCAGCGTATTAATTTTGAGCTGGTTGCTGATCAGAAGATTAACATGACCACCGGAGCTACCATTCATACAACTAATGTTGGTGCCTTATCCACATAATTATTATGCTAAACATAATTACCAGCTTTTAGAATGTCATTATTTGGGTAATTTTCGATAAGTTTGGCCACATTGAGATAACCCCCAAAAAGTTCGGAAAGCTTACTTAACCCTCAAAAATTTTCAGATTAACCCCTAAAATGTTGGGGGTTACTGAAAATAGATTCAGAAAAATGCAAAAGTTTTTGGGGGTTAAGTGATATTTCCAAACATTTTCGGGGTCATCTCAAAATGGACCAAACTTATTGGGGTTTTTGTGAAATTTATCCTAATTATTTTGATAATGTGAAATGATGTTCTACTCACCCTTATGCTTCAAAAAAATTATTGATTATCTTCAATTTTCAGCAACAATGAAGAAATGTTTTATTAAAATATCATTAACTTTCAATTTTTTTTCTCTCAGACTTGAGATGTTCTGCAGTTGGTTTTTGCAAAATTTATTAATACAGCCTTATAGAATTAAATTTCATTTTGAGGTTCCAGCAAGTTCAAAAATTTTAGATGCCTAAATTTCATAGTAACGTAATTTTTAGCTTGTAATCGTCACTCATTTTTGCAGGGCTTGTATATGACATTAAGTCCACGAAATTCGGAAAATGAATTGGATCAATCTTCAAGGTAGATTTTCTTTGAACTTTTTTGACACTTTCTTTTTTGCTTTTCAAATATGAATCTTCTAAAAAATTTCCATGTATGATCCTATTTGCTGTTATTATCTTGTTAGGATTTTTAAATCTCGTAAAAACCCTAAAAAACCACCAAACGCAGCAAAGAGAATCATATATAAGATTAACGTGAAAATTCTTTGACAGGGAAAAACCACGGGATTGAAAACAATTCATACCACCTTCAAATTACAATCTTTTGCACGGACGAAAACTACGAAACCCTCTCTCTCACAACACCCTTAATCCCGGTTACTATCTCTGGTAAACCCTGATTCTAAAAATATTGTATCTCTCTCCCTCTCTACTCTTAAATCCCTAGAATAGAATGCCTTGTTTAAAAACACCCCTGACTTACCTACCAAGTCAACTTGATTTATAAAAAACTATTAACTTGGCATCTAAGAAAGCTCTTAGGACCGGGCTGAGCCTTCAAATCCGAATCCAACTTGGAGTTTGAGTCTGCACCCAACATATCCTCCTTCGATAAAAAATCTTCAAGTATCTTAATAGCCTCAGAAAAATCCACTCTCTTCTTCTTATTCTTTACATCTCTCTTATGGACAAGAGTTTGAGAAGAGTTACATGTACCATGAATAGAACATCCATCTAAATAGTAAATATGATTGCTATTTTTCCTCCATTGCAAAATTAAATCACCATTTTTATACACTTTGCATCACTCTCCTTCACCCACATACTTGTACCCACGCAATGTCATCTCACCCAACGAAATTAAATTAACACCACATGACAACACATATCTCACATGATGAAGAATTCTGATCTTCCTAGTGTGAAGCTTGAAGCGAACACTCCCAATACCTTAAACCTTTATTTTCTCATTATTTTCAATGATCATGTCACCAAATTATTTATTTGTCTTCAATGTGTCAAAATACTTTTGTTATTGCAAACATGCATAGAAGCTGCAGAATCTAACACCCATATTACTCGCATCAGTACCAGTACTTTCCGTTATCAGCGCCACATCTTCATCAACACAACTATCAAGGAGTCCTTTTCCATTTTCTTGAAGCTTCATCTGTCTAATGCTTTTCAAATCATCTCGTATCTGGGAACATCTGAACTTAATATGACTTTTCTCTCCGTAATAGTAGCACTCTCTTTCGCCGTCGTCTAAGGCGCGAGATATTGATCTCCCTCGATAAATGCCACGTCTCCCCTTACTCCTCCCTCGATTAGACCCTTTAAAAATTAGTGCACTTTCACCGCCATTAGATGCACTCTCCTTCCACATTATTCTTTCATTCTTACGTAGGAGTGCTGTCACATCGTCAAACTTCATAGTCAGCTTCCCCGTAATTTTCATCTGAACTAACGGCTCGTACGATTTTGGTAGGAAAGATAGTAGGAGTAGCGCTTTATCTTTTTTTGATCTACTCATCAATATTCATAATTTCGCAAACTAGCTTAGTGAAGGCGTAGATGTGGTCTTAAATGGCAGTAATGACGCAGACGTAGAAACGGGGAGGCCGATCGGATATCGTTCCGATACCGACGAGCCCTGACAATAGCATGTATTTCACGAGCTTGAATCCACAAGCTCCTAAGTTTCTCAAAGTTGAGAACGAAAACAAAGAGAAAATTCTCTTAATTGAATAATTGAAAAGTTGATTCTAATTTACAAAAGGAACTAATATTTATAGCTAACTAAATCTATCCTAACTCTAATAAAAAAGAAACTCTAAGCCTAAAAGGAAATAACCAAATCCAAAAAGAGAATAACAAAAAAAGGAACTCTTTCCTAATCCGAAGTCCGAGACAATACGAGACGTCCCGACTAGCACCGCATTTCGTGTCGACTAGACCTGAGTCGACTAAGCATGTCGAGTCGTCCTGCCTTTCGTGTCGACTGGCATGTGTCGACTCGTCCTGTCGCCTGTCGTCTCGTCCTGTTGCTTCGAGTCGTCTGCTCGTCTCGGCTGGGTTGTGTGACTCGTCCTGTCATCATCTCGACTCGTCTGTGCTGTTGTCGTCTTGTTTTGTTTAAGTCGAGTCTCGTCTCGTTCATCTGTTCAGTCGATTTGACTGCTTTTCTTCTCGGTTCGTCCAATACTTGATCTCCTGCATCAGTCCCTCCTTCTTCGGAAGAACTCGTCTCTGAGTTCTCATCACTCGAATACAACTTGATTGAAGGATGATAGTCAGAAATAGCCGCCACGTTAAATATCGCCGACATAGCCATTCCTTCTGGAAGATCTACTACATATGCATTATCATTGATCTTCTTGAGAATCTTGAACGATCTATAACGTTTCGGCTTAAGCTTGCTGTATGTTCCAGCCGACATCCGTTCCTTCCGTAAGTAAACCATCACCATGTCTCCTTCATTGAATACCTTGAGTCACCTCTTCTTGTCTGCTCGTGCATTGAACTTTGCATTAGCCTTCTCAAGCTTTGTACGCACTTCCTCCTGAACGTTGAAAGCATTCTCTACCGCACTTCTTCCTGAATATTGAAAGCATTCTCGGCCATTGAACTTGCTGCCTCGCTGACCTTACTACTTGTCGGCAACTTTAACAAATCTTGGAGATGTCGAGGTGTTTTCCTGTAAACAATCGAAGAAGGAGACATACCTGTGGAACTATGAACGATCATGTTGTAGGCGAATTCAGCTTGAGGTATAGCTTGATCCCACATCTTTGGCTTCTCTCCACATATGCATCGAATCAAGTTTCCCAAAGTCTGATTGACCACTTCTAAAAAGTCCAATAACCTAGTATTCCTATCCGAAACAATCGAACTAGGAACACCATGTAGTCTAACCACCTCTTGAAAGAACAGTCGTGTAACATGTGGTGCATCCGAAGTCTTGCGGCACTGTTTGTGGAAAATTTATAGTAAAAGAAACGAAGGAAAATTGATTTGTATTCCTTTAATCTCAGTTACAATTGGATTTCCTGATTACAAAAGAGAAGAGAATGATCTGGATTCTCTCCTTTGTTTAATTCTGGGTTCTTCACGGTGGCGATGAGATGCCTCCCTCGAATGCTCGCGTCGAGTTTGCTTCTCGTTGACGATCCGAATATCTATACTTCACTGGAACAACTGTCTTGGCCGGTTGATAACTCTTGTCGAGTTTTGTGATTCAGAACAAGTAACAAACTCTAATGATAGAGTTGTTGGAACCGAAAATAATTCGGTTAATAAGCCAAATATCGATGGTTTAGAGATCCTCCGTTTGTTGATTTCCCAGACTGTGTAAGGAGTCAATCCTCCTTTTTCTGATTCTGGAAGATTTGATCGAAAGATCCCCCTCCGATTAATGAAAAGAAATCTCTCTTGATCTAATTATCAAAAATCCGATCTCCCCTCTCCAAAAAAGATCCCTTAGTCTGTTGAGTTTGTTGCTATTTATAGGGGGATTAGGGGTGTAACTGCCCCCATAATCCGCGCCTAAATGGGGGTTTAGTTACCCCATTAGTCGGGTGTAACAACCCACTAAAGCCACTCCTCAAATCGTGGGTGAAGAACAGCTTCGAAGTTGTTACGATCACGTTTGAATGAGTCAGAACCTTGACCTGCGTTCTGGCGGTGATTGAGCTGCGTTTGGCAGCGACTGACGGGCTGCGTTGGGCAGTGATGGATGAGTTGCGTCGGCAGCGGTTGATAAGCTGCGTTGGGCAGCGATTGATAAGCTGCGTTGGGCAGCGATGGAGCTGCGTTCGAGCTGTGCTGGGCAGCGATTGGAGCTGCGTTCGAGCTGTTGATTGTCGTAGTATTTAGATTTCTCTGTCTTTATATATGGATGACACCAAAGACCAGTAAAGAAGGTCTTATTCAGGCCATTTGTGACAATTGAGGCATCTCAATAACGCTCTATCAACTGCAGGTCATGATCTCCACTGAGTGTGTCGAATATCATTACACTGCTCATCAGCACCTCTAATGGTTGCTAACATAATATTAGTCATGTTGTTGTCGCAGCCATCAAGATCAATCATCTCACATAAGAAGCTGCATTCGTGTTTATAGCTGTTGAAGCGGCGTAGGTGATTGAATCGGTGTAGTGTCTTGATGATGGTACGCGGGGAGGACTTCCACGTCTTGGTTTGAAGAGATCGTCGATTTGTAATCCTTTCTGTCAGAGTATTGCTAAAGACTGTCGTTTTGTAATCTTTGCTTTAACTCTTTGACATGTGAAAATCTTCGAATTGTAGCCTTCTGGAAGTCGTCAGATTGTAACTTCCATCATCAGTGTTCGATGGAGACTCAGCTATCCATTGTGATTTTTAGACAGCCTACAGAACCCCCTCCAAAGTTTTCGAAAGTTCGCGGTTGACTGGGACGAATTTTCGGAATACTTTGGATCCCAAAACTTTGCTGATTAAATGTATTCCAGCGTAGACTGAGTAGAGCCTCTCAGGGTTTTAGGCAAATTTTGTCGACACCCTCCTTCTTGTTTGCTTTGTCAATAATGGCTTGGACCTCAGCTTGCATGAACAGACTTTCATCCCCAGCTTAGTCAGGAGGACAGCTTCGAAAGACTCTTCTCGATCAGCTTGTCTAGGGTAGAATGATCTCAGCAGTCTGATTATTGCTTGGAATATTAACCCCTTTGAAGGTGTTATTTATGTGAGTGCAGTCATCAGAACGCATGTCTAAATCATGCGTTCGACTGTTTGACCGTGAGGGTGCGTTTGGTAGTTGAAAAACCCCTCCTCCCCTTCATTTGAAAACGCGAGAATCACGTTTCAGGTGAGATTTTACCTAAAATCTCGTTTCGATTTGACAGCTACAGCTGTTTATAAATAGACCACTGAGGTCAAATCAAAAGGTCATTCGACTTTTCTCCTTTTTTACTCAGTTTCTTAACAGAACTCCTGTTCATCTTCTCCAGCGCTTCAACGGAGGAAAAGATCCGTTCCTAAATACTTCGCCCATCTTCGTCTTCTTCGCCCTTGAGACATGGAAGTGGCTTCCGTGCAT